TAAATCCCACCAGAGAGGACTCTTAATCTCTCCAACACCACCATCTCCTTTTCTGTGGTCATCTGATAACTCAAGACCAAGATTATGCAACTCGTGACTCCAAAGCCTGTTTAGTAGCTTCTGTTAACCACAATACGGGGTGGGGAGAACTCTCCAGTATCTCTTCAGAAGCTGGCTAAAGAGTGCAAACTTCCTTAGCATGGAAGTTTGTCTCATAGATTCTTTTCTGCAGATCCAGGCTTCCTTTATTCATGCTGTTAAAACAAGCAGGTTCCCCCTTTCCCTTTCTTTCTGACCACAGTTCCTCTCTAGCATTAGGACAGCCACACCCCTGACTTCTTCTGGTTCCCAACTTCAGTTTTATACATGGCATATACTTAGCAACCCACATTTTGTACCAATTGTTTGCCATGATATGAAGTCTGCTTCACATGCAGTTAGCTCTTTGTTTTCCCACTGTCCTTTTGTGAGTGGAAGCTGTTTTTATTTAACTAGTCATAGGGGAAAAAATTGCTTGTGACTTGTCACATTGTCCTATGTAATTCTGTTTAATTGCATTGAAAGTGCTCTTTGGAAATTAGATTTTGCTTGCACCTGTTTTCTGAGCCCACAGTTTCAGGGCCTTGGCAGTATGAAATAATTTTGGGGACTGCTTGTGTTAGGATCCTTTGTGGACACCTCTCAGACCATCTAGAAAAGGGAAGTGAGAATACTAAATGGGAGGTGGTTTGGCATCTGAATAGGCTGGTTTTGAACACCAATTTATGGTAGGTAGGGGAGTTAATGGTATTTGCCAGCCATGTTTTTCTTCAGTAGGGAAGGGCTAAAAATTCCACTAACTGGAGGATTTGGATGTTGCTGGCCTGTTGGTGAGTCAGTACATCCAATCTCATGTGGGGGGTAGTTGCAGACTTGAGATAATGAGACCCCAGCTTAGCTTTTGAAGGTAAGAACCTTAGTCATCACAGGTTTTAAATATATTTGGTTTCAAGAATAAGGCAGTGTTGTCTCAGCCAGATTGTGTCTTGGCAGGGATGGCAGCCAAGTGAAAGATGACAGCTGTTTTTCTTGGAAGGGGCGGTACTTTGCATTTATTTTTAATTGGAAGCTGTTGTCTTGATTAAGATTGGGGAAAGGGCTTGAATATCAGTCACATCTACCTTAATGTAGTTATCATTTTTAAACAATGCTCATTGAAATTCTCCATCTCCCTTATCAGTTTCTAGCAATGCTTTTCAAAGGTAAAATGCAAAGATAGCCAGCATGAGCAAGCTCTCATTCGTATGAATGAAGTACAGGCTAATTGATGCTAGTGGATCTGAGGTTTTATTTATTGCATTATATTTTGAACTGCCCTCCCCCTGCCAAGACAGGGCTCAGGGCAGGCGGTGTACAATATAATAAATTCATATAATACGTAGTTAAAACAATTTAAAACAATAAAAGCACAGTGATCGGCCTAAAAGATGACGTTAAAAGTTCCAGTAGTGCCACTGCCTCATGGGGGTGGGGGTGTACCAGGAGGATGGAACCCTCACTGTCCTCAACCAAACGCCTGGCGGAGTAGTGAGACATGTGTGTTTCTCTGGGTCATGGCTCAGTGGTAGAACACCTGCTTTGCTTGAAGAAGGTCCCAGGTCAAATCCCTGGCATCTCCAGTTAGACAGATCTCATGTGTTGGGGAAAACTTTCTGCCTGAGGCTCTGGAGAGCAAGATGGACCAGTGGTCTGACTCAGAATCAAACAGCCTCATGTATTCTAATTTCTTTACTTTTAGCTATCTATCTTAATTTATCTGCTTAATTTATTAGTTCTAAACAGATTACTAAATTATAGAAGAAGCTAGACCCCAGATTACTAAATTATGGAAGAGGCTAGACAGTGTTTGAATGGCTGTGAAAATCTTATCACAGAAGCATAACATTTTGCAGCTAAAACAGTGGTAGGTCTGTTATTGTCTTCTAATAAAAGGTAATATCTGCATATGTTCTATATTTTGGAGCAAAGGAAGAATTAAAAGATTTCTAGGCTCAGAAAAGTGTTTGCATTCAAAGGTTACTTGATACAGGGTGTCTACAGTACCTGCACCTCAGTTGCATACTCTATTAGAGTATGGTACCTTAAGGTACCTCCCTTGCAAAACTCTAGATGGTAGGACATTAAGCTGCACAAACATAAAGGAACGGCTATAGCTAGGAAAAGTTGAATATGAGCAGTAATCAGGGAGCTCTTCAGGTGGAAAAATACCAGCAAATTGAGTAGAACAAACACATTGTGCTGTACAGATTGTACTGTTATAATCATCTCCCTCCCTCCCTCTCCCCCCATATATAATTGCCCTACATATTGTTACTTTCCAGCCCTCCCATTGGCTGTGCTGTGCACGCCATCAGCCATTGGCCAGTCTACCGCCACTTAAGAGTACTCACGTGCCATTGGCTGGTGCTGGGTCCAATCCTCTCCCCCACCCACTGCCAGCCTGTTCACTCTTCCTTGATAGAATAAACTGCCAAAATGGCTCTCTCTCCTGACAAAGATGCTTCTACTTCTGCTTGGCCCCTCTGCCGCAGGCTGGCTGCTGAGTTGGGCCACCGGCTGTCAAACCATTCTCTTGTCCTCCTGCTGTTGGGCTAACTTTTCACTCAGTGGCTACTGTAGGTAGCCAAGCTTTGTTCTGTCAGTAAAAAGGCAAAGGCAGGAAGCCCTTTCCAGGCCTCCTTTGGCCTTTGTAGGGAACTCATTGGGGCCAGTCCTGAATAGGGTTGCCAACTCCAGGTTGGGAAATGCCTAGGTATTTTGTGGTGGAGTCTATGGAAGCCAGAGTTTGGGGAGGGGAGAAGCCTCAGCTGAATCGAATGCCATAGACTCCACCCTCCAAAGCAGTTATTTTCTCCAGGGAAAGATCCATTGTTTGAAGTTCAGTTGTGATACCTGGCAATCTTCAGGCTCTACCTGGAGGTTGGCTACCCTAGGCGTAGCAGTTAGTGCTTCAGAGCAGGGTCTGCCAGACCCAGGTTCTTGCTGTGGAAGCTGAGTGGGTGATTTTGGACCAGTCACAGACTTTCAGCCTAACCTACCTCATAGGGTTGTTGTGCAGATCAAAAGGGGGAGAGGAGAATGATGTAAGGTGCTTTGGTCTCCACTGTGGAGAAAGACTGTACTTTTCCTCCTGGGGAACCACTGCTGCCAATCTCCAGGTGAGGGCTGGAGATCACTCAGAATTAAAACTGCTCTCTGGATGGCAGAGATCAGCTCTCCTGGAAAGAACAGCTGCTTTGCAGGGTGGACTCTGTGTCATTATACCCTGCTGAGGTTGCTTCCCTCTGCAGAGAAAGACCGTACTTTTCCTAGGTAGAGGCTGTAGGTGGGGAGAGGAGATGAAAAGCTGAAGTCAGAGGGGCAGATAAAGGTAGGCTTATGGTTGGCTGGGAAAGAGATAGAGTTGCCAACTCTAAGTTGGGAGATTCCTTGAGATTTGAGGGGTGGAGCGTGGAGAGGGTGAGGTTTGTGGAGGGGTGGGACCTCAAACAGGTACAATGCTATAGACTCCACCAAACCAGCCATTTCCTCCTGGGAAACCATTGTTGCCAATCTCCAGGTGAGGGGTGGAGATGACTCAAAATTACAGCTGCTCTCCAGATGGCAGAGATCAGTTCCCCTGGAGAAAACTGCGGGCTCTGTGTCATTATACCCTGCTGAGGTGCCTCCCCCATGACAGCCAGTTTGATGTAGCAGTTAGCACTTCAGAGCAGGGTCTTCCTGACCCAGGTTCTTCCTGTGGAAGCTGATTGGGTGATTTCAGAACACTCACAGACTTTCAGCCTGACCTATCTCACAGGGTTGTTGTGCATATCAAAAGGGGGAGAGGAGGAGGATGTGAGCTGCTTTGGTCACCACTGTGGAGAAAGACTGTACTTTTCCTAGGTAGAGGCTAGGGGGATGGAAACCTGAAGTCAGAGGGGCAGATAACGGTATGTTGATGGTTGGCTGGGAAGAAAATAGGATTGCAACCACCGGTTGGGAAATTCCTGGAGATTTGAGGGGTGGAGCCTGGAGAGGATGGGGTTTCAGGAGTGGTGGGACCTCAGACAGATACAATGCCATAGACTCCACCCTCCAAACCAGCCATTTCCTCCTGGGGACCCATTGCTGCCATTCTCCAGGTGAGGGCTGGAGATCACTCAAAATTAAAACTGCTCTTCAGATGGCAGAGATCAGTTCCCCTGGAGAACTGTAAGCTCTGTGTCATTATACCCTGCTGAGGTCACCACAGCAAATTGACGCTGAGTGCCCAAGGCCAGGGCACCCTCCCAGAGCCTCTTTCTAGAGTTCATTGTATTTATTTCCACAAGGGGCCTTATTCCTAGTATATAGATATTTCTTAATCATTCTCATGGCTTCCTGCCTGGTTACTGAATAAAGGGAGTCCAAGGAAAGATTGAGTTGCTGTATTTATTGCTCAGCAAGTTTGTCCCAGTGGGAAACATAAGAATCCTCTCTGACTAAGCTGAGGTAGCCCTCTTGGGTGTCAGAGTGTATAATTTTAACTTTACGGGGGAAAGCCTTCAACCAAGCCTGATGTTCAAGAGATGGTTGTCCCAATTCATATCGAAGGGCTTTCAGCAGTGGTCCTTTTCCTTTCTGCCCCAGCTCTCTACTTGTGCCTCTCTCCCAAAGTTAGTGGTACTTTTTGGTCACCTGCTAGGTAAAATTGATGGTAGTGGGCACACAGGCATTGCAGTCCCTGACATAGAACCTACACACAGAGAAGGACCTTCAACTGTATCTGCCCTATTATTTTGCTGAGCCAGAGGTGAGATCTTCTCCAAGTTGCTGGCATCCAAACCCTTCTCTTAGTTTTTCCTTTCCCAATGTAAGCCCCTGATTGGGGTACGTACTGAACTTTCCCAAAGACTTCCTTTGAACTTCTGGGGGTATCTCCTAGGCTGCATGACAAAATGGTGCATTTCCCCTAATCCTAACAGCTGTTTCTCTTGCAGATGACCGAGTTGATCAGCGAACCTGCCTTATCTGTGGAGATCGCGCAACAGGGTTGCACTACGGCATCATCTCCTGTGAGGGCTGCAAAGGCTTCTTCAAGCGGAGCATTTGTAACAAGAGGGTGTACAGATGCAGCAGAGACAAGAACTGTGTCATGTCCCGCAAGCAGCGCAACAGGTGCCAGTACTGCCGGCTGCTCAAGTGCCTCCAGATGGGGATGAACCGGAAAGGTATGTTTGTAAGGGACAGTGGGAAGAGGTGTGGAGCCCCCCTTCCACATGTCTGTGTAGGAAGCAATGATGGTTGAGGCTGAAGCAGGCCTTTGCTTGGGTCACAGATCAAGAAGATTTAAGTAAATAGTTTAAATCAAATTTCCAGTTTTCAAATTCATACCTTTCTTGAACATGAATGTGTAGTCACTGGCTGTTGCAATAAGACAATAATCCAAAATCTCTGGTTATGCAGCCCCACCATGCCTTTTGCAGTGCGTGTATTTAGGAAAGCAGCTGAGAAATCAAGGATATCTATCTATATTGCTCTCTCCTCTGTCCCCCCTCCCCTACACTCAGTGTAAGGTTGCTAAGCAAGGTGACTTACATGATGACAAAGTTCCCTGAGCTTTCCAGAGGCCTGGGGTAGTATTTGCATATTACTACAGTGTAGTCTCTATACCTCATGCTGATGGGCTTTGCACCTGTGCAAAGTTTTGATTTGGAAACTTCTGAAGCTAGCTTTCAGATGCAAAAAATCCTCTCCCCTCAGAGGCACATTGTCAAGCAACGAGGAGTCATGTTCTTCCCACTCAGTGACTTTTCATCTGCTGCAACAGCAGCATCTGGGAATTTCTTGTGGGAGTCATCGCTTCTTTAAAAATGTAATAGTCGTCTTCCTTCCATTCCCTCTTCCAGTTTTTCTTCAACTTTCCTGTGCTTTTTCTAGTTCTGTCTTCTGTGGTGCCCCAATATCTGTTGCTCTAAAGACTTATTTTTAAGGCTTCGACAGGGGGGGCTGGCTACCTTCAACTGACAGCTATGGTTGGTGTCTCCTGTGCATGGGGGAGCAATATATAGTTGAGAATTGTCTCCACTGCCTCAGGTTTACTCAGTGGACAAGACACAACTGATCCACCAGGCCCAAAACAATTCTCTGATGTGACGGCGGACAACTCGGGGTTGATCACTCAGAGAATTGGCTTGTCTGCTTTGGTGCTTCCTATTTAGCATCCTCACACCAAACCCCTCTCTACGGACTTCCTGACATCATACACACTGATACTGAGCCAGCACAATCCTACAGGCAACCCAGCTAGCATAAGCCGCCAAACCTTTTGGCTGTATGAAACCTGTCCTACACCAAGAAAGAAAAAACACAAGAAGAGAAGCACCAACCACAGGTAGTCAAACAACTGGGTTCTCTGCTTTGTCTTAGCCCTAGAGGCAAGTGATTCTCTGTATATTTCCAGTACTCCACTGTCACTGGAGCCAGTCTTGGAGTTTACCCCTGTTCATCCCGACCCAATCCCTGAAGTAATTCAAGGTGACATTCCCTAGCATACTAAGAGCTGATAAAAATCCGTAGTAACCATCTGTCCATAGGCAAATTTTCCCATTTGCTTTAGGCCCAATGGCAAAGCAGGATCTTGCATCCCAGCACCCAGTCTTCTCAACTTAGTGGCACGGAGCAATGCTTCTGGATCATTGTCTTCTGATATTGAGGCAGATGCTTCTGAATGTCATAAGTCATGGCAAATACTCAATGACAAAGCAGGATCTTGCATCCCAGCACCCAGTCTTCTCAACTTAGTGGCACGGAGCAATGCTTCTGGATCATTGTCTTCTGATATTGAGGCAGATGCTTCTGAATGTCATAAGCCATCCACTGGGTGGTCATATCAGCTAAGTGAAAGTGCTTTCAAACCTATGCTTTAATATCAGAGTGGAATCATAAACTTGTCCAAATGATCTCTATCCTGACCAATGTTCCCTCTAAGCTGTGGAGTCTTGTGAGCAAAAATTCTATTTTGCGAGCTACTGGCATTAAAGGTATGAGCGAGCGATTTGGCTACTGCATAAATTAGTTTGCTCTGGAACCATCCTTCCTGAGCTAAGACAAAAATGTGTGAGCCGGAGGCTAAAAAACTGTGAGCTAGCTCACACTAACTCAGCTTAGAGGGAACACTGATCCTGACTACTTGTCTTGTCTACGTTCCCTAGACTTGCCACACTTATTATAAGATCTCTCTAGGTGCTGTTTCAGCTTCATATTACTTCATCCAGGAATGCTCAGTCTTCACCCAACCTCTTGTAAAGCAGCTGTTCAAGGGCCTCAGTAGGCTCCATCCTGCAGTGACAGCACCAACACCTGTGTGGGACCTTCTGTTTGTCCTCAGCCAACTCATGGGTAATGGCAGGTCTCTATGATTTAAAGCTCCTTACCTACAAAATGGCTCTTTTGGTCTCAGTCTTCTCATAAAGGAAAAGGTAGTTTTATGCCCACCAACTCCTTCACTGAGCCTGGCGTTCTCTCTTTGTGAGGTACTGTGCTCTTGCTGTCAGAGCCAGAAA